GTGTCCTTGTGGGTGGACAAAATACACTGATTGGCTTATCCCGGTATAGGGTATCCATGCCACCTGTAGGATTTCCTCCACCCCCAGTATGAATGAGTGTTTCTCAAACTGGTCACTCGACCCTTTTGTGGTCTTTCAAGGGGCACTAAACCAAAACCAACCATCTTTGAGACCAATTCCTATCTGGAGAACCCCCGCTTTGCAAGGCTTGAACTTCAGCTGAGTCCTTCTGGGAGAACATCGCAGGGCTCCCTATGTTCACCCTGAGGCATTGAGGGAAACCCACCTGAAAATCCGGAAACAAGGGAACATGCTGTGGATGGTGGCGAAATCCATTTCGCACCACGTGGAAACCATGGTTGAAGCCATTATTGGTTGGCATCAGGGAACTCATCATTCCAGGGCTTCTGATTTGGCAATCCACACCAGGGACCCCTGACTAAGTTTCCTTGGGATCCACCAAACCAATGCCACACTTCAAGCGAGACCAGTTCTCATCCTCGGTAGTTGATTCTAAGGTTGGAACTCCAAAGGGGCACCAAATGAACCACAATCAAAACCCGGGATTAAAATTGGTTGACCCAGAACCATGCTTCAAGAATTAAGAAGGCGGATATCCGCAGCTATTTACGGTTGGGATTGTCCCTTACCAACCTTCATCTACCCAGGTTTTGAGCACGTGGCTCAAATGGTTTGTTGGACTTTGGAGCAGTTTAGGGGGTTTTGCAAGAGATTGCTGCAAAGAAGTCAACCAAAAGGTGCTTCTCCCGAGCAAACTTTCCAGAAATCGACCAGATCCCTTTTCTCGGCGCATTGCTCTCCTAAAAATTACACTGGGATATGTCATAGATCCCTCCAACCTCTAAACTCCCTTTATGAACGACCCAAACAAAGTCACCACACCTTTTATTTACCACCAAACTAGTCCAAACCAAAAAAGTAACTACAGTCTGAAACGGAACTCAGGAATTGAGTAAACGTCAGAAAACACCCTCCTGACCTCCAAACCTCACACTCGCAGCAGCACGTCAAGTCTACGGACCCGTCGCAAAGCGACTCTACTGCTGGCGCTTGCCCTGCACCCAGACGCCCTCCTTGCGCTCATTCCGCTGGTTGGTGAAGACCCCCTGCCCATGCCTCGGCGAATGACTTCTACGCTGAGGAGCTTCATAAAAATGGCGTGCCATGGCGTTTTTGAGGGCACCATTTGTTTGTTCGGGTTGTACACCAATGGCGTGAGCCGTAGCTTTTTGAGGGTAGCCATTTTTTGAGGCTGTTGGTTTAAAGGGGACCAAAGGGAGCATCGAAATCCATGGTGGGGGACCCCCCAACTTTTGTGAAGACACCGTTTGTTTGGGTTGTTAAAGGAAACCAGCAGGAACAACAATCCTTGCTGGGGGACCCGATCTTTACACATACCCAAATCAAGCCAGCCTTCAAACCCTAAATTTGCCCACCACAACCTATGAACAATTAAAGGGTCTTGGGCCGTCTGGTTGGTTTGCCCCTCTATCTTTGCCACCAAAGCAAGTGGAAAACCAACAACCAATGGGAAATGGCAATAGAGAAGTCAACCAAAGGCCGCACTATAAGAAACATCTATAGAACCTTCCTGGGAGGGGTTCTTGGAAGAGTTCTCATCGAACCTTTTTTGGGGGGGGGCGGGGGTCTCTGAACAAAGACCAAATGGAGCACGGCCACTCCCAATACAATGGTTCACAACCCTGAAATCCACACTCCCTATAGGTACGAAACCTTCGCGGGGGCTCGAGATATACCTGGAAGAGGCCCAAATGACTTCCGAACAACTACTTGGGGTTGTCTCCAAACAATTTCGTTTCACTAGAAAACAATAAACAGAGTACCGCCAAGCAAGACACAACCACATCAATTAACCAGTAAGAAGCAAGTGAGGCGTATGCACCCCCCTTCAAATGCCTCAGATTGATGCCTGCCCGAGAGAAGGTGGGTCAGTGTCACAGAAAAGCGTTTGAACATATTATATCTTACAAAGCGTATCTCTTCACAGGTGTGAACGACTCTGTCCACATGTGTCCCTGTATGTCCCTTAGTTCCGGACCCCAGAGTCCTAAACTGCTTTTGACGTGCTTTTAGCATTAACTCATTTCTGGATTTAGGACTCGGGCTTCTCAGGACTCTCATTTTCAATGAATCCAGCAGGACCCCCCCCCCCCCCAACCCCTCACCGCCCTCACACAGACCTCTCCAAGGTCTCAACTGTCTAAGCCTCCCCCTCTCCCCCCTCACAGCCCTCTCATAAGGAGGTGTCCTGAACTGGAAAAGAAGGACACCAACCGCTTTCAAGCTCCGGTTTTGGGCGCTGCCAAAGATGCCCAGTGGCCATTCGAAAGAAAGGATCAGCACCCCGATTTTTGTGGTTGGTTGAGTTTAAAGGAATCGGAACCCTTACCCAACAAAAGCTGGAAAAAAGGAAGCAACCCACTCTCACACGCCCAGCGGCCATGGGAAACAAAAAGAAAAGCACATCCTTTTTTGCTTGGGAATTGGAACCCTTCCCAAAAAAAGCTGAAAACAAACAGGGCGGAGTCCACTTGGCCCTTCCCAAAAAAAGCAGAAAAAAAAGGCCGGAATCCACTTGGCAACTGGGCACTGGGCAACGGAGCTCCGGACGTTCGTTGATTCCGAGACGCTGCTTGCCCTCGGCCCACTGGCCCTCGTAGGAGCGGCCGTCCGGCCAGGAGAAGGTGCCAAAGCCCTCCTGTCCAAGGAAAGCGGGGGAAAGGACACCAGGGGTAGGGTTGGTTCTTCCATTTGCTTAAGCCTGGAAAAATGAATTCCAGTAGTAAGATTGTTTCCCTTTAAAACCAACAGGGGAAAACAGACAATACTAATTTCAGCAAATGAAAGGGTTCATTACACCCAACATGGGTCTGTCGTTTTTGGAGTTGGTATCCCCATGTTGAGCGATTTCAAAGTAAACACCGTTACGCCTTCTTGTTCTTTTTCTGGGGGGGGGTTCTCCAAAAGGTTGCTCGAATGGGATCTCCAATGAAAACCCCTAGTCCAGGTTGACCGGCCATTGTACAGGACAGCCCCCCGCTGGTCGTCACTTTTCGGGGTTAAACAAATAAAAACAACTGCCTTCATTTGGGGGGAAAACAAGATCCAAATGACAAGACTTGGCCAAGGATTCCGACATTCCGAAAGGGTGTCTTCCCAAGTCTGTGAACAACCGTTCAACCCCGTCCTTGGAGTCATTCACATAGCCTCGGAGCGAAAAAGCGAAGGCAGAAGTGGCTCGCTGTGGCTTGGGACCAGCTGCGAGAGATCGGCTTCACAAGTCAAATGCGGCACAATCAAACTTGGTATTAAAATGGTCTACCCAAATCCATAGAAGGAATTGGAAAGGCGGCCGTAACTACTTCTGGCCATCTACCCGGTACGTGCGATTGGATTGTGGCTCAAGTGCGGCAAACTGTTGGCTTTCAGTTGCAACTTCCCGTGTGGCTGGTTCCATTTGATCGCTCTGGGTTCAAAGTGAGGATGCGAGGAGTGATCGGCATGTTGTTGCGTGCTTGGAAACTGTTGTTCTCTCAAAGGTTACAAGAGATGGTCTAACCCAAATACAACCAATGCAAGTTCGTATAGTTTCAGTTTCTTTATCGTCGGGCAACCCCTGCTCCATGCTTGGAACATCTTGAAATGGAATTCCTCCCTGCAGTTCATCTCTTGAACATGGGTGGCATCACAGCAACCTGGCAACCAACAACATCCAATATTCAATATTGCAAGGGTGCCATTTGAAACCAAAGCGAACCGAACCCCTTGCTGGGGTCCGTCCTCTCTCTTGGACACATCAATCCTTGCTCCTGTCCATCATGCTTGACTTCAACTGTATGTTGTCGGGGCCCCCGGGGAATGACAAATCATGGTGGTTAAGACATCCTCAAGGTACACTTTGAATAGGTTCAATGTCGACAGCCTCATAGCCCAAGCCTGATTCTGCTAGGTTTGTTCAGGATTACACACAACCACTGGATTGTTCAGTCATGCAAATCCCAAATGAATAAACCTGGCCAAGAGATAGGAGCCATTTCCCTCCCAAAGTGAAGAATTCGCGTTTAAGTGGGACACCAACCAGGGGTTGTTTATTGATCCTGGGTTCAGATGGATGCGATGGAGGCAAAATGGAACAGGATTGGGATTCAATGGACGACACCACTTGTTGCCAGAGCAGCCACTTCTTCATTGACACATCTAGAACAATCCTCACCCAAAGGCCATGGAACCCACACGAAAGTTTCCATTAAAACCATGTTTTTTGCAACACAAATACACTCCAAGTTTCCAGGGATAGGGGGTCTCAAAACACGCGCCCTTTAGAAAAACGAAAACATCCACAGAAAGGTTTACGCAGTTTCCTGCTAGAGAGGTCAGGAACCAAACGGACGGGGCACCCAATTAGGAAATCATGAGGCACGGGAAACTGTGGAAAGTTGTACAAACTCACCCCCAACTCCCTGTTCATCGCAAAAAAAACGGGGTCGCGATTGGTAGTGGGTGATCTTCCTCGGCCGATTTTTTTTGGAGGGGACCCAAAGGTGCCGCGAAACCCAGCGTGAGAAACCGAGTCTCAGGATTTTCTAGGGACCTTTTTCTAGGCCCATGGGGCAAAACAGGGTGGGATCACTCGGGGTTTATCCAACCACCTCTGTGATACAAGTTGGAATCCCCTTTTTATATGGGGGGTTAGTCTTTGGGAGGCTCTTTTTGTTGTATCATAGAAGTGGCCATTTCCCACAGCCCTGGCACAACAATGAGGTTGCGGGGTTTGGCGATTTTCCACATTTCGTTTTGAGATCAATCTACGTTTTCCTTCCCGGTCCCCCCTTCCGGTCCCCCCCCTCCCCCTCCACCCCGGTCCCCTCTTCCGGTCCCCCCTTCCGGTCCCCCCTTCCGCTCCCTTCCGGTCCGGGCGGCCGCCCTCATAGACCCGGCCGTCGGCCCAGCGGAACTTGCCCTTGCCGTGCATGCGGTTCCGGTCCCACTGGCCCTCGTAGACGCGCCCGTCCTCCCAGCTGTACTTGCCCTCGCCGTGGATGTCCTCGGGCCGACGTGCGTCGGGCGTCAAGGAGTCAAGGGGGGTTCCCCAGGTCAAGGGATGAACCCGTTCTGGAGCAGAGGTGTCCTTTTTGGTTGGAAATAGATGGATTGCCCTGGTAGATGAAAATATCAGGTAAACCAGGAATCGCCATCTATTTTTCGACCAAAATCCAGTTGCTTCAGCCCCCCCCCAAAAAAAACATATTTCCAGTAGTGATAGATTCCCTCTAAAAACCAAGAGGGGAAAATCACATATATTCTTAAGCAAATGGATGATAACTTCTATCACATCAGCAGATACCCTCGGCCCATGGGGCCAGGACTGGGCGAGCGGTAGAAGAGACCAGACATCCGTAGATGGCAAGGCAAGGCCCGGGCATGTGGGGTAAGCCTTTTCGATGTTCGTGTTCAAAGGGTGGTTGCCTTGGTTAACTATAGGACATAGAATCATTGGGCGAGTTGCTTCGTCTTTGGCGCATGACATCTCAAAATGGCGGACTTTGTACATAGCCCTTGTAAACATCATCCGATCTGAGAACAACTCACGAACAACACGGGCCATCGATCCATCGATTTGGACCGGGGGGGGGGGGAGGGAGCTGAAAACCGCTCCCCCACAACGGCCTTGGGCTGTGCCCTCTGGCGTAACATTGGCAGTTACAAAGGAAATCAGCTTTCAGATTCATCAGCTTGAAACAAACCACGGGGTGTGCGTGTCCCTAGGCCATGCATTGCCTGAGCTGCCACATGAGTCAAGGGGACATGGGGAAAGTGGGGGAAAACGTGCCGAACCCCTGGTTTTGAACATGAAATCTGCACGTCCTCCCCAAACTACAACAGACAACCAATAATTGCATTACTTGCTGCCTTTTAAGGTATGCGTCAAAATAGAAGGGACCAAAAGTGTTGGCTCCCCGCTCAAAAAGCCATCAAAAATAGTTCAAGAAAAGATCCATACGAGTTTGTCTCAACATGTGGGACAACAAAGTGGATTTGGATTTTCCTTTCAATCACCAAGAAGGGGTACACCTGTAAATCCTGCAGGAATTTTGGACAAACCGGAAACAAGGGACTCCGTCAGCATAGTCAGCTCGGTCTACCCCTGGAATCGGCGAGCTCGAAACCCATAACTCAGATGCCCAGTGGCCATGCTACAAAAAAGGCATCCTTTTTGGTTCGTTGAGTGTAAAGGAATCGCAACCCTTCCCAAGAAAAGCTGAAAAAACGGGCGGAATCCACGGGACAACTGGCATAAATTGGAAGACCCATGGCAGAACCCGCACCGACACCTGGAGACTCGCATGCAGGCCAGGTGCGTTCTCGAAAAACTGGCCTGGACTCTCGCGATTGCGCGACCCAATTCGGTGGCGTGTCCCAACCCGTTGTGGGTCTTCAAAACGAAATACTGCATAGTTCGGGGCCAAAACACCTACATACCTTATTCTCTTGGGACAAAACGTGGTTCACGCCCAAAGCGCAAAAGGAAACCAGAACCAACCTCCTCGAGTTGATTGGACTGAGTGACTGCCTATTGAAACACCTATCTTCCTACGACCTACTTATCGCCTTTGGCAAAAGCGCGTCCTAGCGCGTCCTACCCTGAACAGACCAAAGGGCCAGTTTTGAGCCACGGTTGCGTTCAACAATATAAGGGGCTGCACTTCCCAATGTGGGAGTGTTGTTGGAAGGTAGCCTGCTTTGGGTTGCCAAGGGAAACCAAAGGAAAACCAACCTCGTTGGGAGTTCCCTATTTTAGAGGAACCCGCGTGCTACAAACTTGCAGCCATGGTGAACAATGACCAACGCTGTTTCCCCATATGGTCATGTATTAATCTAGCTTTGTGGTGCCCCAATCCCCAAATTCCAACTAGTGTGCCGCTTATGTTATTTACGCAACAAAGTGGGGGTTCACACTATACATGGGTCTCTCTCAACATGGCTGAAAGCAGTTGGATGGCGTTTTCAGAGGAAGGAGCCGTAAATCATCGACGCCTTTATTCGAACACTCCCATATGATTATTGTTTGGTCTCTCATGTCTCCGCTTTAGGTAACCTAACAAGGGGCGCCCTCAAACGAGGTGCCCTCAAAAAAACATACCGTATGAATGCCCGACACTAATAGGGGACCACCACAAACAACACCTACCAATGTAGTAGCACGCCCGTTTCCTAGTTTGAACCCATGTTGGACCCCTGGATTTGCACCATCCAGCCAAAACTATCGAGTACTTGAGTGCTTGACCAGGAGACTACAGTGGATGAACGAAATCCATTTCGCACCACCATTTTGAAACCCTGGTTTCTGATTTGATTTCCCAACGTCAATATCACCGTTACCCTAGTTAACCCAGACAGCAGAGGGTACCAATCAGGGCTTCAAAAAAAAGATCCGAGTCCCATTCGGCCGCGCCTGAGTAACTGGAGCCGTCCGCCCAGGTGAAATCGCCCTTGCCAGACCTTGTTGGAATTTGCGCCGGACAACCATCTGATTCGGGGAAAAATGTGGAGCAGCAAACAAACATCAACAAACAAACAGGCAGACAAACAGTACATGGACATGGACACACAAATGGACAGACCAACTGACAGCATGTTGAGATGAACCTCCTGGGGATTCCATGTACCTCGCATCGAGTGATGGCTCCTGACCTGCCCGGTCCGGCAGTGGCTGAGCTGCCGACTTGAGGCCGTTCTGATACTCGCCCACCTCAACGTACGGCAACGGCGGGAAGCAAAGCAGTGGTCGAGTCGCTCTGCTTCTTTCTTCTTTTTTTTGGTGATGTTTAACCAGTGGACCCATTGCCTCTGGTTGGAAGTGCCACACAAGTCTGAAAAGGCTGCAACAGTTGTTCACAATTGGGGCAACGAACAAGTGCTGCCAACAGTTGGTACTCTTTTGCAGATCGACATTGGATCTCAGCCCCCCCCCCCCCCAAAAAAAAAAAAACATATCAATGGAATCTCTCTTTGAAATCAGACCCTCGTCTTCAGGTTCCTGCTGACTTGCAGGACTTTGGAGGTTACTTCGGGTCGGCTTCCCATGTACCCCGAAACAAATCCAGGGTTTCAAATCCAAGCAGGGAATACCTGACTTTGAGATACAGGCACAAAACACAGAGAACTGGCCCAAGGATCTCATCTTGATGGCCCGGAAAAAAAAGGCCTTATTGGCCCGGAAAAAAAAGAAGGAAGAACAACAAAACATGGCGTGCAGGGAGCCCCCACACCCGTGATCGCCATGGAAAAACCCGAACAAAGGGCAAAAAGAGACCCGTCTTGCGCAACTCGCCTTGCGTCTTCTCTGAGCTCCCCGCGTACCTCGCTCCATCGGGCCACGTCTCTTCGCCGTAGCCATGCTGCTTGTCGTCCTAACGGAAGGAAGGCCCAGGAGCCTAGGCCAACACCTTTTCAAGCTAGGTCCTCCAGTGGAGAGGTTAGAATAAGGGTACCAACTTTTTTCTGCAGTCTAGTCTTGTAGGGGAACCCTCCCCCCCCAAAAAAAAGGTAAACGGGCACTACTGGGGGACCTAGCAAGTAGGTGTTGCTCCAACAAACCTTGCCGAGGCCCTGGCCCAAGGGCCCAACCAATTGGTATGTGTTTGGGGCAAAGCACACACACACGGGCTGGTTTTTTTTGCAGGCCCCACCTCCGCACTACAACCGATTATGGAAACGAAGGCGCACTCAACCCGAAGCAGAGGCACCAATTGACGTTGCCAAGCCGCGATCCCGCTATGCCTAATGAAAGCTGCACCCTTCCGTCCGGCCCTCTGTTTGGCAAACAAACATCAAGCTGATGATGTTCTGCGCGTTGCATGGCCGCGTGTTGCTTGACCATTGTCTGAAGGACACGTGCCTCGAACTTATTGAGCTGGACCAAGAGAAAGGTGGGTCTACAGAAATGTTCCAAGGAGCTGAAGATAGAATTCCTTGGGGTGCAAGGTTCAGCTTATTGCCAGCCTCTAGCAAACCCATTGTTTACTCATAAAATTGCGGTTGAGTAAATTGAGTATGGTTGGTTTACTTGCAGGCTGCATCCGTACGGTTTCGCCTGGCCAACCCTTGCAACCACCTTGAGGGTGCTGGGCTTCGGTACATCTCTTGATTACATGGGACAAAATGAAATCAGGAGACCCCGAGTCATGGCAGGCGCATGAGAGTTGGGATTGTAGGATGGGCCTGAACATTGGTTATATCGAAGTTGCTGGGCCCTTTCGGTGAGCGGTTCCTACCGAAGAAAACAAAAAACACATATGTTGGCGCCCGAAGACCTACTGTGGGTGGACTTGCTTGAAAGCCACGCGGGAAACCATACCGTTCGTTGGTATTGACAGGGGAATCATCAGGGCTTCTGAACGGTGGTGCGAGAAGCGGATTTCGTCGCATGTTCTCTCAGGGAATTGATGGACACATGCGTAGCAACGTTATCACTGGGGCAGTGCTGCTTCACAACCCTTGGTATGGCAACAAAACTACTTTGTTCTTTGCAGCCCCCTACTAAAAATGAATAGAACCCCAAAAAACAAACATATTAATAATAATAACACTGACAATGATACTAATACTAATAATACTAATAATAATACATGATAATAATGAAAATAATGATAATAATTATTATTGATAATAATAATGATAATAACAATAAACAACTTGATCCAATAACAGTGAAGCCTCAAGGATTGGTTGCGTGTGGAGGCCTAAACGTAGTTGTTGTTTTTCCGGCCCAAGGCCTCTAAGTCGCCGGGGTTAATCAAGCAACCAACTGAGGGGGATATGATGCAAATCGAGAAGCTTTTTTCAAATGCCGAAGGTTTTGACTTGGATGTTGAACCAAATTAGGTTTCAACCAGGGCCAGGGACACAACTGGGGTAACTGGGTTTATTCCACTTATCAACATGGCTACAATTGATTTACTACGTACATGAGGGTTGTATGACGCGACAGTTCTCCCAGCAAGCGAAGGCCAATTGAGTCACAATAAGCTGGGTTCCTTATGTTGACTGTTTCTGGGCGGGTTATCAATGCCCGAAAATGGTGTTGTTTCCTTGAAATTGATCATGCTAAAAATCATGGTGCCAGATAAATCCCGGCCAAGTGACAACGTACTGCTTTGGCACTTTGTCAGACTTGCACCCCCAAAAATTCAACCAGTAACTTTTGGCTGGCGCAAACCACGGGCCAAAGGGAACTCTGGCCCCGTAGCCCGCCGCTCACCACTCTGGAAGAGAGGGAGCACGCTGTGTTGTTCGGATTGCTTGAAAGGGATTTCGCACTGGCAGGGTATAACAAGTTTCAACTCTGGAGGTGGGAATTTCCCAACTCCATTACACAATTGCAACTCGGTACAGTGACACTTCTAGACACAATTACTTATCTACCTAACAGCTGGGTACTGTTGGGAGTAAGCCCGGGAAAACAAAGGTTGGAAAAAAGTCTAGCATAGTCAGGCAATGCACCATGCTCCATGTGCACAACTCTCCTGCCACTCGCCGCTGAACTTGGAACCGCTGGCGTGGGTGTAGGTGCCTCGGGCACCGGATGCAACCTAAACATTGCTTAAGTTCACCAGCCACATGCAACTACAACTAGAACCACGGGTGGCCCGAAAGCATACTGGAAAGTGAGCGCTAGTTTCATGCATGTGTGTCTGCTTCCCATTTTTTATGCGCAAGTGGCGCCTGCAGACTTGTATCTGTTTCCCCGCTTCCAATACGGCGACCGGAAATCGGCATCCGACCCAAGTCTTGAACGCCCCCGCCCTTCCGTGGGCACTGGAAAGCCCCTCCCAGAACAAACAGCAACAAGCCCAGATAATCTGGGTACCCAACAGCCCCGGAACCCCCTTTAAGCTGGGGAAGAAAAAAAAACACATCCCGAGCCCCCAGAGAGCCCATCTCACTTCCCAAGTGGATTGGCTAACAAAAGTAACCAGAAACGGTTCCTTTTCCGCCAAGATGGTCCCGGAACCCCCAAAAAGTGACCTTGAAGTCCGAAACGGAAAAGTGAGGAAGTGACATTGATTTACAGTAAGTTTCTTTGTTTCTACATTCTTAAACGAAACCCCAAAGAAGCCAAAAACCACAGTGACAAATTTGAGTCCGAAGTCCAGATATCGCGCTGAGGATCCCAACGCCCCAACGCCCCAACGCCCCAACTCCCGAACCCGACTTCGGACCGAGTTGGTTACCACCAAATGGTTCAGCCCCAAATGGCTGTGGCTCAAAAAACCGGTACCAAAATGGAACCTTGGTAAGTGGACACATGGACCAAAACCCGCGTAACCCCTCCAGTTTAATTTTGAGCCACAGCCAAATGGCCCAAGTCCAGGAACTGAGAACCCAAGGTCCACTTCCACTCGCCCTGACTTCCGACTTCCGATTGGCCGGGAGCCCCGGCCCTTGCCATGGGCCTTGTCGTTCAGCCAGTAGCCCTCGTAGATGTCTCCGTCCGTGTGCTCGAAGCGCCCGAAGCCGTGGGCCTTGTCGTTCTCCCACTGGCCTACGGCTACGAGCCAAAGTGACGTGGGAACCAAAGGAACCAGTTTGGGTTTCTATAAATTTTGGGATTTGGGGAGGGGGAGACAAGAACCAAAAGAACCAGCTTGGGTTCATTATAGATCTTGGTGGCGGGTGGAGTTTATGATCCCGTCGATTCGCTTTGAAGTTGCATCTTACGCCATAACCCACTTTGGAACTCCAGACATATTTTTGTGATACCAACATGGACCATGACAGCTTCATTACTTCAAATGGGATTCCGCCGCAAGCTGAACCGACCAGCCACCCGGCAAATCTTCCACCACAAATGATTACATCCTAGCTCCTGGTATACAAACCATCTCAATGACTGGCCATCAGCACTTTTATCTTCAAACTGTCCGGGCCTTTACATAAATGATGTTGACATGACATCTACCGACAAAAAGATCACACTCCGCCATCACGGGTCCGTATGCTAGCAAAACAAACCGCCTTGCTCCATGAATGGAGGAGATCGCCCCAACAACACGCATTCCCCGTCCCTCGCGTCCCGTGCCTTCGTAACGCGCGCCGTCGGGCCAGACCTGTTGACTCACTCTCTTGCTTCCGCGAATCAGAATCTCAGGCCTTTCGAGGTAACCTGAAATCCTTTTGGTTGGAGGGGGTTGTCTAACCTGAGTCGTTTTTCCATTCTATTCTGAGTCGTTCTAGTGTTTCTCTCTGTTTTTTTTGTTTTTTGTTTTGTTCTCCGTTTTTTCCTGTTTGTCGGTGTTCCACCTCCCTCTTAGCCCACGGGGCCGCTTCTGAAAAGAAGGGGCATGTACATGGTGTATAATGGGGCCAAAGCCACAAGTAAAACCGCGGTAATGACTTATAAGGGGCATTGCCACCCGTAGGCTCGGCACGGGCCACCCTTTGAGTTCTTTGCATGGTTTTCGGTGGACCAGTTTAATGGTCAAGGACCGAAATACTTGTTCTGATTCCAGATTAAGTGATAGGCGGGCTGTTCAAACCAGCTTCGCCACCCTGAGTTTCAGGGTGAGCCATTGTTCATGTCAGGAAGCTGGGTCTGCCTCCAAAACAGAATAGCCATATTGCTGTTTTCCCTCTGGATCTCCTTCGATTCACAAAAAAAAACAATCGGAGTTTAGACGACACTAGAAACCCTCCCCGCATCTTTGGTTTTCTGCACATGGTCATAGAGTCATAGCACTTAGAAGCTTATCTTACCCATTAAAACTCCAAGCCTTGGGGAAGTTAATCTTTTATATAGCCCATGTTACTCATAGCACTTAGCTTGTGGCTCCAGGCTCCAGGCCTCCAGTGGGGCTCAACCTGAAGGTCCGTCTGAGGAATCGGGACCCCGTCATGTGTCTGAGTCGATGCCACCTAGCAATGGCAATGGGTTCCACCATGGGGTTTCTGAACGGTGGTTGTCCGAAATGGAGTTCGAAAACCCATGCAGAGTAGGCTTTTCGGTGAAATGAAAAGCCCCCCCAAGTTCGGGACTTGGATACCCGCAACAGGGCTCGCGGTGCTTTTCTCCCCCAGCCTTCTCCCCAAGAGGAAACTCAGAGTCTGAAAAGGTCAATTTATTTTGGATCTCCGGTTCGCCAGACTGCAAGTAGGGGAACAATAACAGCGACTACCAACGATCCCCGAACTCACTCTGGTGCTACTGAACAACTGAGCTAAGTGAAAGTATTGCACAAGCGGTTCCTTCGAATCGATGCGCGCGCGCCTGAAGGCCATGTCCGTGCCTATGGGGTCCAAGCCACTCCCCTGTGTACGTCGATCCATTTGGATACCTCACACGTCGATTCCCAAACCCATGGTCGACTGCCTGCCCGAAAACTCGTGCCCCACTGTTTGCAGGGGATTGAAGCGAAGGCAAAAGAAAAGCAAGCTGGAGGGCTTCACAATTAGCCTTCGTAATTTGAGGGCCTCACAATTCTTATACATACTCAAAATGGGAACATCGCACACCAAGTATCACTGTTGCCTTGGAAAAAAGAGGCTGGAGGTGGGCGGCACCAGAGAAAGGCGTGTGTAACTCCTAGGATTCCTAGGCAAGTAAAGCGACACCACCACCATTGTGCTCTCTCTTGCAATTGAACGGTCGACCATTGAGGGAATCCCCCATTCATCCCCAACCTTGGGTCATGAACCCATCCATCCTAGGGCTTCCTTCAAGGGCCAAGTGGAATCTGCATGTCTGCGCTTCTCAGAGTTGTGAATGGATCCCAGAAATTGCGTCCCTTCCTGGTCCACATTGGCGGACATATTGCATTGATGGTCTGCAAAAGGACACCTTTGGAATCCTTAAGGGACGGGGGGGTAAAAGGGGGGTGGGTAGTCCCTAGGATGGCTTGGGATTCCTTAGGGTTTTAGGGAACCCCGGCCCCCTTGGACCACCCCCTTGGGGAATTCCCTAAGAAATCGAAAAGTATCCCAAGTTTCATGTTCGCATGGAGCCATTGGTGGTTTCACCCTTGTCCAAGAAGACAGGTGGGTGTGTCTTTTTATTTTGGGGTACCCTTTTTGGGTTGGATTGAAAGGGAAACAAAAAGGACAACCACCCATTTTGAAGGTTGCCATTCCGTTTTGAGACAACCCCAGGTGAACAGGAGGGTATTTCCAGTGAAGGACCTCCTCTGAACCGGGACACCCCGACTAATTATTCAGCCAACGATTCATCAAGGACTGTCCAGTGACCCTGGTAGAACAACAAGGTCCCCCCTGTTTTTTTTTCCTGAAAGCATCGCGCCACCGGAAGGGACTCGCTTTCAAGTGGCACACAAGGTAATGCTTGAAACCACCCACTGAGGGGAAATACAGGGAACCCTTTTTGGGACTTTATTCATTATTCATCTGCTGGCATTGGTTCGAAGCTCATCAATCAGTTGTTCAATCCTGGGTTCCTATATGTGTGCGTCTCTCTTTGTTTGGGAACCCTTTTCTGCTTGGACTTTTTTAATGGAAGGAAAACTGCAATTTTTTCGGGTTCCCAAATGTTAAGGCCAGCCCAGTGTGCCAACTCCAACATCGGGTTTGTGTGTGTGTGTGCGCATTTTGAGGCTCGGTTCAGTACTCTCTCTGGGGTTGGTTTAAAAGGGGGAAGGGCAATTTGGGCATCTAAATCCCAATTTTGACACATCGGTCTGGCTTTTTCGATTGCACCCTTCTTGGATGGCTTTGACAGGAAACCAAAAGGAACACCACCAGTTTGGCGGGTCCCGGGTCCCCTGAAAAAACGCAGACCGATTTTGACGCATCGCTGCCCGGTGTACTCTGCACTTCGTGCCGAAGCGCGTATGCAAGGGTCTAGACTCGGTCGGAGCGTTCTCCTGACACGGCGTGAGACTCATGTCACAAGCAACACCTGGCAGCATGGTCTACCAACTTGGTTGTTGTTAACCCCCCTGGAAAAAGTTTAGCTGTTTGGGGGGTTTAGTGGAAAACGCCTTGATTTCCCAAAAAGTTAAAGTCTAAAGATCCAACCCAATAGCAGTCCAGCCAAAAGCCCAGCAGAGCTTCTCAACTGCGGATATCCTCGCCTATATCTACTCGGACTGTCCCCTAAGCTTCAGTAACCTGGGCTTCCTCGGCTCACATGGCGAGTCTTCAAATCGATCATTTTCACAGGTTGCCTTGCAAATCTCCGCCACACAACTGAGGCAAACAAATCTTCAGGGTTCTCCAAGACATCTTCTGCATGCCAAGCACTTAGGTTGCCGGCCATGTTGAAGGAATCCTACTAGCTAGACCTTCCACTGGCCAAACTTCGAGACGAGTGGACGCCTCGAACTGTTGCGATCCTATTTTTCGCTCCGGTTTTTCGATCCAGCCCGGAACCCAGCCACAGAAATGGGAACCTAGGGGCGGTTTCAGTCCAACATGGCCCAAGGCCACCTAGAGGAGTCCAGCGACCGTTCTGTTCGCGACACGCCTCTGGAGGTTTGACTCAGTAGGGGGATTTGAACCCCCGCTGGACTGAACCCAGTGAGACACCCCGAAACCTCACAATCCCAACCGCACCGAAACAGCTCCGTGAGCCGACCTCTCAGAAATGGGCTTGCGGGTATAACAATGGTCGCTTTTTGGTGTTCCCTTGAATTTCAATCAAACACAACCCCATAGGGGTCCTGAGAGGGCCGGGTTTCCCTAGGGGCCCACGAATCTTGAGAAGCGGTTGGCATCCCTCGGGGGCCCTCCCAGCACTAGTCCCCAAGCGACAGTTGGAGCCGATTCGCACATTACTTTTGGACAAATGGATACTCTCAGTTGCCCCTGCAAAATGCAGAAATACAAGGCAAAGCTTTTGGGGCCACAAAAAGTGACCAAACAAGGGATCCAAAAGGTTAAAAGGTCGACTCGCTATGGGCAAGTGAATACTTTACGAGCACAAGAAATCCATGTATACACCAACCACTTCGTGTATGAGAGATGGATCCAGTGGATCATCTTGCACATGAAAGATGGCTGTCAGGTTCAAGCCCGTTCGGGTTAGCCAGTTCAGGCAGGGAACCAGGTTACCTCGTGAAGCCAATAGGTCAGGTCAGATCTGTGACGCCAATAGGTCTAGTCTAGTCACCTTTGCTGCAAGTGTCGAAGTGTTGTGCCTGGCTTCACCTGTCAGCACCTAGCAACACCCACACAAGACATGTGGTTGCTAATGCACTTTGCCACCATGCCCAGACGCAGGTTGCTTTACAGAAAAAATCAACTGCGTGGCAGTCTGGCCGCCAAAAGCGGATAAGTTGCAGGGGACCATTTGCCGACCAGCTGACCTTAAGACCCAAGAAACAGGGGCCCAGACCAAAACAAATTGTTCGGGTTGCCTCTGCCAGTCAGCTTGTCACTTCCCAGTTGCTCGGTGACCCGAGCAAAATTCATTGGAGCCGTGCCTTGGTACGGACCTCGGCCTAGATAACTGCTTCGATGATATCAAGAGGGCCGTGCCCTGCCCAACGACTACTTCATCACTTTAAATGAGAGTCGCAACCACAGAAAGTGACAACCGTTCTTCAGGCCAGAGATCGTCATTGTACTGGTTGCAGTGCAATTTTCACATGGTGGCCTTAAACTCACACCATGTTTATTCAAAACTGTGGATGGACGAAATCCATTTCGCACCTAAGACCCTGGTTTCTGATGATTCCCCTGTAAATACCAACCATGAATGGCGTTTTTTCATGGTTTCAAAGTGGTGCGGTTTATGGATTTCGCAACCATCCACAGGGTCGGGTCTTTGACCAATCCACCCGTCCTTCCCCCGGGGAGGTATGGTGGCGTCCACGACCTCTGCCTGAAGCCCCGGGAGCCCCAAACCCCGAAACTTCCGTCTTCGTCTCCGCCGCCTGGAAAAATAAACATGCTTCCAGTAGTGAAATCGATTCCCCAAAAAAAAAAGCAAGGGAAAATGAAGCAATAGCCTTAAGCAAAGGGATGTAAATTGGCTACTTGAAAAATTAGAACCCCCGAAGAAGGCCCTGACAAACCCCTAGGTTGAGAAATTATATACTTCCAAACAATTGCGGAACCTCGAATAAACCTCCAAATTCAACAGATTAGGGAATCGGTTCTCTGGTTCCCTCACTTGCAATATGACAGGAGCATCCGGCCAAACCAGGAATGCTGTGGATGGGCGAAATCCGCTTCGCACCAGTGCGTGGGTTCTCCCAGTATTCACAAGGCTTCCCTTCCAAGTTGGTGCATGATTTTGTCCACAGTATGGAGCAAGCATGTGGACAATTCCTTACAATTCGGTGGTGTCCATGTAGATTGCCTAAAAATAAACCCGAACAGGGCCCCCCAAAGGTAAAACACTTTGAAAGGAGATGTTCATGAGCGGTGGGGTTGAAAGTTGCAACGCTGTCCCTGGATTCAGCCCCTGGGCTCCCTTTACAAACCCAAGGGCAACCTCAAGACACTTCTCATTTAGAGCCTCCGGATATGTTCCCTTGACACATCGTCGCTTGACAGCACACACAACAGCTGATCTGCACTCAGGAAGATAGTCTAGGGGGCCTGCTGGTGCTAAACCAGTGAATGGAATCTCTTGTTGTTGTTCTTTTGGCAAAGTTCGAAAGGGCTTTTTCGGTCCAAGCATTTGGAGTCAGAACTGATTCCTCAATTACTGCCGTGTTTGGGGTTCCTTGCACAGTTTGCAGTACTCTTCATGTGGCCACTGTAACGCTTGGCTGATCCTGAGGGTTCCCACCAAATGCGCAACCAATGTGTACAACTCGCAAATGTTAGCACACACACACACACCTTGGTTGCTGTTGACCCCCCTGCAAAAAGTTTAACTGTTAGGGGGTTTAGTGGAAAATCCCTTGATATCCCAAAAAGTTAAAATCTAAAGATCCAACCCAGTAGCAGTTAAGACACAGCCTTGTCGGTGAAGCATGTGGGTTCCTTCCAACGTCCGGGTCAACATTGCTGTGTCGCGTATCTTCCACCTTTTCCTTTGACTCACCTTTGGTGTTCCAAGGAGACCTGTAACCTGTAAACACTGTAAACATCACCTCACCAAAAGGACAGTCACTTGAACAATAAAGAAACTCGACCGGGTCGCGCCTGATTGTCACCGGTTGCTTGACCTCAATCGCTGTCGCGCAGCTGGGACTAGATTGCAGGTAAACTAAAACAACCTCAACGTTTCGGTGTGGCTCAACAACGAAAAGAACCAGCACATAGCAGGTCTCCACCATGATTCCCTTTGCGCCCAGATCTAATTACTGTCTCATTGAGCAATGGCACGGAAGCCGACTGGAAGTATCGAGCCACAGCAAGGTGACGTGAGCCACTGTCAACACTACTTTTTCTGCAAGAGGATGTGGACAAACAGTGAGTCCCCCTGTTTTTGTGGGACATTTCCTGAGTCGGCCATGTCCCTCCCAAATGGACCCTTGCAAACTGCAGCAAAATTAGAGAGGCGTCAGGTCACCAATGGTGCGACCAAGCTTCAGCAGCTCAACATGCCGACCTCAGCAACTGGAGCGTCAAGCGCCCTGGGGTCTATGGGTCTATGGGTTGCTGTTGACCCCCTCTAGGAAAAACAACTTGTGTGGGTCCAATGGAAAATCCCCTGTCTGCCCAGGAAGATAAAGTTCGCAGATCCAATAGCCATAAAGGGGGCCGATAGTTCCCTGACTTTAATCACCATGGGCTTCCTGGGGTGGTGTTTCAAGTAGAAATATAGCGAACTCCGTGGGGGGGGGGGGGGCGATCGGTCCCTTGATAAGGCCATCAGGGGTGAAGGAAGTTGGATGTCTCTCAAAGCCACCCCCGCAAGCCAAATCGAACACCTCTTACGGATGGCTCCCAAAAGTGCAAGTAAACCAGCCCCCGCACTCGACCACCAATTCATGGTAAATCTGAGGTGCCAATGGCCAATCCTAATCCATAGTCCATACTCACCCCCCGCGCTACGGATTAAGGATTGACTTTGAAGCAAATTACAGTACCCTCCCCAATACTTAGGCCATCCCCCGCAGCGGCTATGAGCAACAAACTCCAAGCGATCAGCTCTTTTGGGCCATGAGCCGTGGATACCAACATTGCTGGCCAGACCCATACAAACAGTTAACATCTCTCTAGCTAAAGGGAACATGGATAAAACCCAAAAGCACAAGGCACGAAAAAGGGAAGTCAGGTTTTGCAATAAATTGGCCAACCAACTCCCTCTTGCTTCAGGTGTCACCAAAACGAGTCACGCCTGCTTTCCTTCAACATATTTCGGGAAAACGATACATCCACAAGGCAGAAAGTAAATGCCAGATCGACCAGTCGTGTCCATTTCCCTCAAAAAAACAGTTGCCTATGAACAACTGGGAAACAAGCGGAAACACTAACGCAATACAAAACCTTAAGCGCGCTTACAAAGCCTTGCACGACCTTGTACAACCGTACAACCTTGTCAAATTGCAGATCCTTACAACACTCTACATACAAAACCCCAACGCCCTGCAACACGTTACACAAACCGTACAATCACTTATAACTTAGAAGACCTTGCAGCATCTTATGAAGTCAACCTCACATAACCTTGTCTCACTTCCTGAGTGAATGGACCAACACAAGTCCAAACTTTATTTGCCAAAATGGTATTAAAAATAAGCAAATTCAAGGAACTCAGGACGTGAGTTATCCAAAAAACAAAACTTACATACCCTACAAACTCTTATAAACCCCATCCCAAACCTTACAGCAGCTTCTACTCACTTGCCCCAACAACCTGGAAGTCAAAGGTTCACCTTTTGGGACCTCTCCAAAAAATAGACCCAAAGGGGGAAACCAAAAGGTCCAAAGGTCGATTCGCTTTGAACAACTGAGGATAACCAGACGCCTGTTTCGTACCGCGCCTTCTCCGCGCCCTGCGCCGCTTCTCCGCGCTTCGTGAACGAACCGACGCTGAGCCAATGGCTAAGGAAGCGTCAACAAGCGGTGAACTTCCATGACTCCATCGACCCGGACATATCAACCCAAACCCTGAAAGGCTCCCACGCCTTCAGAATTGGAGGACAAACATGCGATTAATTGAATACTGCTCGACGGTGATACTGTGGATGCACGAAATCCTCTTAGGCACCACCTGCCCTGAAATGATGCTTCCCCTGTAAACACCAACAAACAATGGTTAACCACGGTTTCAAAGTGGTGCAGGATTTTGTCCGTCCACAGTATGGGGGTGGCTCAAAATGAGGAATCGCAACTCCCAATATGGGTTACCCTCCCACCAGCCAACATGGAATTGCACAGACCCCTGTAGAAAGACTACTTTTCTCTTGGAAAGGGCCTTTTTGCACTTCCATGTTAGTTGGTGGGAGGGTAATTGCAGTAGGCTTGTCAAGTGGCATATTGGAACTTTCCCCCTTTAGACCACTTGAAATATGCTCCGGCCCTCGGGAGGCTCTTGTCAAAGCAATTCAGAGAATGAGGTCACCCCCAAACCAGACCCAAGTCCCGGCAAATGCTTCCATTCTAGGCCTTGCGTATATGGGTGTAGCTTTTTTTGCGGGTGCCCATGTTGGGCTTCCTTTAGACGAAATACGAATCAAGACAAGTCAAGTAAAGAGTATGCCCAAAAGTGCTATGGCGGCACCGGAAGCTTCACTCGCACAACCTGTTTTGCCTTGAGCCAAAATGTACAAGTCATCCAAGGCGAACTGAATGTTTCTTTTCAGTGTCAACCCTGGAAACCTGATTCAAAGGAAAGTTCAAGCAAACATGAATTCCGGGGCAAGGTTGAATTAGACATGCATGCACCACCTACCATCAGGAAAATGTGGATTCCAGCAGGGGGCATTCTTCTCCCCCTTCTCACACTCGGAAAGTGTCCTACGCAGACTCCAGTTTAGTTATTTAACTATCTGGTCTACGCCTACGGGTCTCGGAGCGTTTCCGCTTCACGAGATGGCACTTTGCAAGTTGAGCTTAAGGATGCCATGTTAAGTAGGTCTAGTGCATGGTCCCACTTGCACACCGGCAATGGTTTTATAAAACACATCTGCTCTCTGCTTGTCCGTTGCTATGTACAGGAGTTTGCAACTTGGATCTTCGAAGACCTCATAAGCTGAACCTAGTTCGATCTTCTCCGTCTTCGTGAGGTGTCGCAATTTGGGGCTATAACCTGCAGCCACGATCTGGATTACAGCTGAGTTGTCCTGAAAGCACTCTAGCGTAACCTGACGATCCAAGATCAATTCCAGGAAGCCTTGTGCTGGCAATGCTTCGCCGAAAAGGCCTGATCCTAGTGAGATCATCTCTGCTGCTGTTGTGCTCCTGGCAGTCGCGGTTTGGCGTTTACTGCCCCACGCGATTGGCCACAAGGTATTAGGGCCCTCAATGGACAAGAACATGCCACTCGTGCTTTTCGTGTGTTCGATGCCACTACAGTGGTCCGCATCTGTGTACAAGCACAGCTTGAGCAGTTCTGGCGGGTCGCCTATATGTCCTTGTAAAGTGTACCCTTTTGACCCATACAGGTAGCACATTAGTCTATGGAGTCGTTTATCATCTGCTCGACTCCATGTGGTAATCCTACGTGTCAAATCCCCTATCCCTTTCATTAGGTCGGGTCGGCTTAGCCTAGCGCACCAGAGGATTTTCATCAAGATTTTGCATGCAGAAGTTGCCAAAACCTCTTTACTTTCAAAGTCAGCGGTTGTAAGGCTACCTTCTGGGCAGAAAGGACTTTTAGCTGTGCTCAACTTACATTGAGCCAAGCCCTCATACACTGCACATGCATCCTCGATGAAGTCGAACATTTCGAGCGAAACCTTGGTCGATCCATTGGTCCGGTCGAATTTATGCTGTCTGCCCAGCACACGTTCAACTTGAGTTGGAGGTTCGATCTCCAAATGCTTTTCGATCTCCTGCCAAAACTTGTTTTGTTCTGATGACGGCCCTGAGCACAGAATGTCGTCGACGTAGCAAGTTACAAGAAGCTTTCTTCGTGGAAACCAAAATGAAGATGGAAATTCATCAACATGTTGACCTTCCAAAAGTTTCATCACTTCCCTTAGCCTTTGATCCCAATGGTATCCTGATTCGGGATGGCCATAAAGGCTCCTGACCAACCTCACACACGGCTGAAGTGCCGGTATTCTGGAGGAGTCAATTCCCAAGGCAAGATCACCCATGTGGGCACCTTAGTCCCAAGGTACGCTTGGGTGTAGGCTTTTACTACGTCTGATTGACGAGTTTCGTGACCCTTGATGGCGCCGTATGCTAGATTGATGTTGACACCGGTCATTCCGGTCGGAGTGACTTTTGCTTCTTGGAGCACCGCAAGATTGTTGTCTTCCGTGAGGATGTGATCCCCTCGGAAAACTATCCTGGCCTTGAGTTTACGGAGTTCTGGGGTTTCCCAATGCTTTATCGACAAGATGGTCATTAGGGAAGCAATGTTGATATGCTCCTTGTTCCTTTTACATCTTGCCAAAAGGTCCTCTTTTGAGATTACCTCATCGAAAGTCCAGGTTCCGTTAGCTACTAGCCCATTCACTTCATTGTCAATGGCGTCTTGCGCTCCAGGAAAGTTACCCCATTCTTTCCTCTCCAACAATTTGTGGATGCCAGCAAACACATGTTCTACTCCTGGCAGCTCCTGATGACCTGCCTCGTTCTCCGGGGCGTGGTCGCCACACAGGAACTCTTGCACGGAGTTTGGCCCAGCTGACACTTGCACAGGCATTGCAGGCGGTGCGTCAATCCAGGGATATAAGGACTGAGAAATGCACCTTGCCATAGGCATCGGGTAAAAGGCACTTCTAGGTGTCTTACTGCCTGCAAGAGGTGAATGCTTATAGTCACGCGGATGTTGACACTTGGCACTGTCTAGGTTTTTAGCCAACCTCCATGAAGAGGTTACAACTCTCCACGTCTTGAGGTGACATTTACCTTCTTGGTCACAGAGTCCAAATGCACAACCTTGAGGTTCCGCCACGAACAAGTCATGCCTCTTGACAAACCTGATCAGCTCTGGCAAGTCCCATCCGGCACATGTCTTCGGCCACTCGAAGGCAACGTGGCCCCCTTGACTGAGGACTTTGTCTGCACAACGAATGTAGTTTGCTAAATTTTTTCTAGAATGCTTGCGCATTTTCTTGAGTTTCTTAGCAAACGGTTTTCCGTATTGATGGAGATTTACATTCTGCCATTGCGACCAGGGGCCGCAAGGAATCGATCCCCACAAATCACACCCGGGAAATTGTTCTATGACCTTCAAAAGACTGTCATTTTCCCACTGGCTTGACATGTCAGAGTTCTTTGTTGTGAGTCGGAAATGGTTGATTCCTCTTTCTTCGTTGATCTGACCCAACGTTGAGTTCTCATCGCAACAAAACTCAAAGAGTGTCGGATTCGCCGTTCGACCTTTGCGGTCTTCACGTGCAGGCTTGACCAAGTCCTTAGTGAGTTCAAGGATTTCTCTGGCCTTCCTAGTTCGTGCTTGGCTGTCACCGGCTTGCTCGATGAACCTTTGCATAGCTCTGAGATTACCGTCTGAAGGGTTGGCTGCGGCTGCACACAGTTGCGCTTGATCTGGCGACACACGTCCTTTCGGAAAGAACCACGTCTTACCAAACCAACTTTTGGATGAAATCCTTTGATACGGAGTCTCTTGCCAGTTGTCCCTATGCACGGAAACCTTCCCCTTGCATCTCCACTCGGTGATGCGTTCCGGTTCAACCTCGTTGGAGTCGAAAGGACAATCCTTACCCACTGGTGCAAATAGCCTTTTTCTAGGTCTTAAATGCACTAGTACCCATGCGTGCCTTGCTTCATCAAACTCCCAATAATCCTTGGTTTCGGAGTTGTCCTCAACCAAAGACTTTGCCCCCTTGACGTCTGATCTTGGCCCTTTGTTTTTAGAGTCTTGAAAAGAACAGTTGTGACAAGAGTCGACGGCGGTGGTGCCAGGAGCATCGGTTGCCTCACTGGCCCTTTGGGTTAGCGTGATGACTGCTGCTGGAGTGGGCGGAACTGGTGTCGAAGGTGCTGGGCCAGATCCAGGAGTTCGAGGTACCGGTGTACCCCGTGAAGCAGGAGTCGGAGGCATCGGTATCCCCCTTGCTGCTGCCTCTTCCCGGGCCTTAGCCTTGGCCTCCTGTGCCAGCCTCTCATCCTCGAGGAGGACACGGAATCTGTCGTGACATGCATCGGAGTGCGGTACTCCTTCCGAGATCCTTTCACACCCTTTGCAACCCGGGGTTCTACCAAATTTGATGGCCCTCTCCAACGTCACATAGGTTCGTTTTCTCCTAGGGACAGGATCTGGGACTTCATCGTCAAATGGCAAAGCCTTCCTGGTTGAAATGGATGGTGGGGTTGATTTCGCACTGAACAGCTGAAGCCTTTGTTGCTCTGCCTCAAAAAGAGGGAAAACCCAATGTCCATTTGAAGGTTCGACCAATTCTGTTTCGTAAACTTGGATTGGCTTACCACAACCTTGAGTGTTTTTGCGAAGCGACTCAAAGTCTAGGACGAGGTGTATGCCCCTAAATTTGTACCCTGCGTCGATCCTCCAGCCAACGAATATGCCGGGGTATGTCCTCGGCTCGAAGTCCGGAAGCTCTCGATGCTTGGGCGGCTTGTAAAACACCAGGCAACCAAACGGCAGCTTCAAACCTGTGAAGGCGTCACCGCCGCTCGCGGCTTCATATGCGTTCTGAGTGGCTTTGAGATTCTTGACATCATCCGAATCATTTGGATGGATTGCCGCATTTGTTGACACGGCTAATGCGGTGCACACGTACTCGACACTTCTTGGCCAAAACTGGTGAGGCAAACCAGATTTCAACTGAACAGCTCTAGCGGCTTCCTTAATGCTCCTGATCTTCCTTTCCGTGACTGGATTGTGGATCTGATCATTTGGAACACTAGGATCTGGAAGCCATCCAAGGTACTCTACGGCACCCTTGAG